GATGTGTACGACTTGATGGGCTGGAACAGCCCCGTTGGATTGATTTTTTGATATAATTTTATATATATATATATATATATTTAGGATTAAAGGAAAAATATAAGAAAGAATGATGGAAAACATGAAAAGAATTATTAAAGTAGATAAGAAGCATTTTGGTCCATTAAGTCGTATACATTTCTTACCTTTACAACAGTTGAATCTCATCGTCAGTATGACGATTGTGGAAAAAATTATGAAGAGAGAGCAAATAAGTTAATATGTATGAAAAAGTAACAATTCGAAAGGAGAGTGAAAGAAAACGGTAGGAAAATTAGAAGGTGATGACATGTAATACCTGTATTGTAGCAGCACAGAAGAATTTTTGCTTATAGTCCTCCAGAACTCACTGACTGAGAAATTCTCAGGGTACATTGTTCATAGTAATAGAAAGTTATAATAAAAAGGAATGAAATAAACAGAAGAATCAAAAAAGAACGCAAGAAATAAGAATTAGAGAATTTGTGAAATTATTATAATGATAAGAAATGTTTCGGTCCATTAAGTCGTATAACCACCATATCTTTTTTGTTTTTCAGGTTTTAAAAAATGCTTACACGGGGGAGGGATATTTTTATAACTAACACTGGATGCATATGAGGAATGCGATGCAGCCGCAGCAGATGTATCATCATCCTCTTCCTAATTTTCGCTATTTTCGGCCTGATTTTCTGGAAATTCTATCAGGAAATTACCTTGCAAGAACTCATTCTGGTGCATTATGTTTCCGATACCGATGGAAACCAGGAATTACCGAGCGGAAGCAATTGTACAGTGGATACTTGTCTGGATCTTCTGCCCTGTTCACTTTATGACGATCAGCTAACTATTTTTGTGGAACCTCTTGTGCAAGTTTTTGCCGAGGTAAGCCATTTCTCACGTTTGTTTTTATGGTACCCGAAAGTCTAATTTTTTGGCAGAGCGATCAGACCTGAAGGGTTTATTAAGACGCATAGCTTTTTCACTTATTTTACACGTAAAATTCAGGATACGCGAGGAAAATACATGTAAAATACATAATTCACTTGTATATTTTACTTAAAGAATGTATTCCAGTTACGTATCATTTCGCTTGCCGGATAAGCTGCGTGGCTGGAAAGTCGCTGGGATATTCTACTTTCAAGTGCAGTCTTAATTCTGCTTGGAAGTGAAATTCCCTGTGCAGCGCTGTTATTTATTTCTCTTCAAACACAATTATTACCCTTAATTCATTTTGGTAAAAAAAATAATTTTTTAATAATATGGTACCCTCTACGGGTTCTGATCACTTGGCTAAGTGTCACTTCTTACCACTATAATAATCTCACAAATTTCCTAATTTTCATTTCGTACCTTCATTTTTCCTTTTTTCTTTTTATTTCATTCCTTTTTATTATAACTTCCTATTATTCGTACATTTCGTGGTGACACTCGAAATGTTTTTCACTCCATTGCTTTCTCCGTTATAGCTGAAATTCGCTTTTCTGCTTTTCTCAGTGACCATGTTTCGCATCCGTATACCACTGGACGAAATCAGTGGCTTCAGTATCTGCTTGATTTTAGACGATAAAATATTTGTTAGCCCAAAAGAATCATTATTAATAATATCATAAGATTAAGCGCTAAGTAATAGGGGGCAAATTGGACCCGTTAATTTTTGGAATCTGTAGTGTTTGTAGAAAATAATTTAGCTGAGATAAGACATTTCGGTCCATTAAGCACCACTTCTAGGTAATACTGCATTTTGGATGATATTTTCTAGCCTAAAGAAGCATTATTGACTGTGGTTGCTGCCCCAAAAACAAGCGCAAAATAATAGTGGAATAAACTGGATCTGTTAAAGTTAGGAACCTGTAATATACATGGAAAACAATTTAGTTGATATAAGACATTTCGGCCCATTAAGTGCCACTCAGTTGTAGCTGAAATTTTATACTGATATCCCTTGTCAGTGTGTGAGCTAAGGATCTCAAATTCAGCTATCGCATACGCATATACCATGCTTTTTGTTAAGTCAAAGTTCCCAGTTGACGCTGTGCCAACTCGAAAATTAGCCGAAAAACCAGCACTCAAGAAGTTTATAAATTAGTGGTATTTATTGCAAGGCAATTTGTAATTGGACCTAAGACATCCTCTAACAGCAATTTAGTAGAGGATTTTTCGAAATTGTTCTTATCATTTTAGGATGGCAGCGAATTAACACCACAACCATCACGGGAATTTCTGGAGATACGCTCGATCGTTGAGGAAAGTATGTATGCTGTGAATGCAGCCGAAGATGCGTGTTTTGTTATACCGGGATTCGATACACTTAACATGGATCGCTTCCACGCTGGCCAACGATCGCCTCTGAAAAACTTTAATGCGGTTGCTGCTACTACTTCTTTCAAAAACAACGTGCTCCTATTCGTATTTGCTGGTGCAAATATTCTCGACGTGAAGGCGGTTGTTGCAAGGCAAGTACCATATTTCGATCCTTTTAGCATAAGTTTTAGGTTTTTTTTAATTCACTTTTCTTTTGCACTGCTCTGTTGCCTCTTTCTCTTTACTGCTGTCTCCAGTTCCTGCCTTGAACTACTGACTGGTACCCCTCATCCCATTCTCTATTCTGCTCCCAAATCAAGCCTGCAGAGTGGCATCTGGACAGATTTAACGTGTTGAAGTTGCTGACTGTCGCTCTCCTGAGAGTACAGAAATCCTTTCTACTTTATTTTTGAAACATCTTGGTACCATTTACGTGTTCTTTTCGTTTATATTACCTGTCATCCCTAGCTTTTCTTGCTATACACTTTCTCTTTATTATGCGTTTTGTGCTGTGTAACAGAGTTACAAAACGCATATTGTCACGGGGTTGTCTATATATGTGTGTGTGTGTTTGTGTGTATGTGTGTGTGTTTGTGTGTATGTGTGTGTGTGTTTGTGTGTATGTGTGTGTGTGTTTGTGTGCGTGTCCCACATTTTGTCCCGCACTTTTGACTCGGGAACCACAAAAGCTAGGCGGCTGAAATTTTGATATAGTGTTCCCCGCCAACGGGTGACACGGCAAATTTAAATTCAGCCTTCTCTTACCCGCGGGTAACACGTACGGCCCCGTGAATGTTTTTTACGGGCAAATTAATATTTCAGGAACCACGGAGCCTAGGAGGCTGAAATTTTAAGGTAATGGCCCCCTGCCCACGCTCAACCTTGCCCATTCAAAATCAGCCTTCCCGTACCACGGGTAACACGTACGGCCCCGTGAATGTTTTTTACGGACAAATTAATATTTCAGGAACCACGTAGCCTAGGAGGCTGAAATTTTAGGGTAATAGCCCCCTGCCCACGCTCAACCTTGCCTATTCAAATTCAGCGTTCCCTCGCTGTTGAGTATCACTTACGGCCTCATGGGAATTTTGGCGGTAAGATATCGGGAATCACGAAAAGATATTCACCCTTCAAAGTTTCGAATCCATCTTTCATGCGCTGGTGCATGAAATTTTTAATTATTTTCCAATGTTTAAACTTAGACAAAAGTACAAAGCAATGAAAATCATTAATAGGCAATCGTTCGATGGGCTGAATTGCGCAAAACGCATGAT